CCCTCCAAAGACAAAGAACAGGGTGGATGCTTGGGAGGTGGATCTAAATGCCATCTTGAGTGAAAGTGCCGGTTTACTGTACGGAGGGGAGCCTTCCTTTCAGTAACGCAGTGTGATGTCCCAGGGGGCCAGTCCCCTGACTTGTTACACCCACAGCTCCCTAGAGAAGTGGACAGAGGATTCTGTCAGATTCTAACAGGCACTCAGGAATTGTTTTCAGTGTGCCCAGCTGTGGGGTGTGAGTTGTCGGGGGAGAGGACGGGGGGCAGCCCGGAGAGAAGAAGCCTGTTCCCTGGGAGCTAACACAACTGGCCTGTCATTTTCCAACAACAGCTCTGGGGAGCCCAGAGGGCTCTGATGAGGTTCAGGGGCAAATGCTGGGGTCCCGTGTGGAGACGGCAGCTTGGGCTCCAGAGGGAAAACCTGCTCCTACCTGATATAGACTGTGGGCTTCAAAGACTTTTTGGATGGTGTTCGTGGGGGGCGGGGATGAGAGAGATCAGTGGGTTAAAAAACACTATAGACGCTAGACTACTAACCTGGATGACGTGAGTTCCGGAATTCTGCGAGCCTTCGCCAGAGGACAGGACAAGCACTCGGGCGGGAGCAGCTGAGCGCGCCTCACCATTGGACGCTTCGCTTCCCGCTCTTCCGTGGCGTGCGCGCGCACCCTCCTAAGGGCCACTCCCGGAAGCCCCGCTCCCACCGCTGTTCTCACCGCGTGGCGGGCCGCTAGCTCCGGATCACGTCTTTAGAGAGCCGCGGATCTAAGACCCACAGCGGGCAGCCAGGCTCCCAGGGCCTTGCCCCTGTGCACTGCGGGGAGCCAGCCTATTCCTTAACCAAAAGCCCCGTGTACTTTTACCTGGGAGGAGCGGACAGGACAGTGTCATTCTCGCTCTCTGGGTCTACACTGACATGCAGTTCTGATAAAACGTCAACGTAGGACATGCCAGGTGGTCCTGACAGAGCACTGATCAACACGTCAGACTGCTGTCACATTTCTCAGGAAGCCTTAGTTTTCATCTTCCCCTTAAAATAACCTAGCAAACTACAATGTTAAAAGAGCTAATAAAATACCCACATTTTAAGAAGAAAAAAAAAACCACACACATGAATTAATAGTTCAGTTGAATTAATTGCTCTTTGGTATCGTGCTAAGAGTTTTTTGGGAGGTGGAGGGGGAATCTATCATGATCGTCACCTGAGACTATTTTCTATCACCTCATGTGTAGATGAACTGGATGCAAAGGCATGGTGCCAAGGGGTTCCTGGATGGACCCTAGTCCACAGAAAGACAATTTTGGATATATGCATAAGAAAAGAACTAACTAGGCACCTATCAATGAATTATACCACCCCACACCAAGCTGCTCCATTATCTCACATGTGGATCGCTATAACTGATTCCCAGACCATTGCTCCACTGCAACCTTGCCTTCCTATGACCCATTCTCCACCTACTGCCAGAGTGATCTTGATAAAACACAACCAGGTCATGTAATTGCACTGCTCAGAGCTCTCCAGAGGCTCCCCAGATCAATACAGACCTGGCCTATGAGGTCAGGGAGGTCTGGCCCTGAATGCTTTCTCTAATCCCCACAGCAACTGTTAGCTGGCTGGGCACTATTCACTATCTATACCAGCCTAAGTTTTAACCTAAGTTAAAACTTAGGTTTCCTATAGTTCAATTGAAATTCAAGTGGAGGGGCACATGGGTGGCTCAGTTGGTCAAACAGTTAAGCCTCTGCCTTCAGCTCAGGTCATGATCTCGGGGTCCTGGGATTGAGCCCCTTGGTGGGCTCCCTGCTCAGTGGGAAGTCTGCTTGCTTCTCCCCACCTCTCTCTCTCAAATAAATATATAAAATCTTAAAAAAAAAAAGAAATTCAAATGGAAGGCAATATGAACAGCAAAAAAACCCAAAACCAAAACCAAAACCAACCAAAACCAAAACCAAAAGGTAAACTTAAGTGTAATATTTTTAGAGAGAATCATTAAGATACTCAAGATAAGGTTAGACTTTGTATTATAATGGGCAGTTTCATGTAATTTTAAATGTATATTCTTCTAATTTTTCCTTCTTAAATTAAAGAACTCTGAAGTTAATTTTTTATGATAAAATTATTTTATAGCTACAAGAAAATGAACTTACGACCCTTAAAGAATTGGACTGTGACACCAAAAGACTTTCTCAAGGATTCAATCTCAAAAAGTCCTAGAATTAGTAAATTTGTGTTATGTTTACTACTAAGATAATTGATTTAGCTCTATTTTTATGACTTCTACAATAATATACATTTTCTTTAAATACAAGTTAATTTTTTCCAAAAGTATCAAGTGTTATTAGTATATAAGTGAGAGATCTGTCTTAATATCTTTTTCAGTGAGGGTCATCAAAATGTAAATTCAAGAACTATTCAATTTACTGATATAAATGATGAAAATTTCAGGGCATGATGGAATATATGTTACTGAAAATTGTGTGCACATTAAAATAAAAATAGCATTTTCAGAAAGAAAGTTATAAATTTAGGTATTAATTTCCTTATTTACACAAGTGTTGACTCTATTATAAACATAATCACATTGGACACAGCACAGGCACATAAGACAACAGAATGCTGGCTTAAAACCTACCAAAAAGAAAAAAAAAAAGCATTATCTCTGAAAGAGCATAACTGCATTTGTGTCTGCTGGGTCCTAGTTCTCTTTTATTTTATGGATAATGAATTACGGTTTCTGATAATCATTTTTAAGTAGCCTTAACACGTCTATGTAAAAATGTGTGTTCAAAGGAAATGGTTTCTCGAATTTTTTTTTTTTTATTAAAAATATTCATGATTTAGCTCAAAAAACACTTTCACAAGTTAGGTACTTTAGATCCTTTAGAATCCACCTGGGAATGACTATTTCTGAACTTGGGGTTGAGTATGAAATCCCTCATTGTTTGTGAGTCTATCATATGAAGAGAGAAGATTTGTGATGAAGACATCTCAATTCTAATTTCTCATTACATGGTAGGAATAACTTTTTCCCCTAAATCAGAACCATATTATATGGGATGTTTTATGATTACTTTCAGGCAAATATGACAGGAAAAATTTGAGAATCTAAGTATGTCTCTACATATGTAAATCTAAAATTGAATGGGGGAGCGCCTGGGTGGCTCAGCCCTTAAGCGTCTGCTTTGGGCTCTGCTTTGGGCTCAGGTCGTGATCCCAGGGTCCTGGGATTGGGGCCCCTCATCCAGCTCCCTGCTCGGTGGGGAGCCTGCTTCTCCCTCTCCCACTCCCCCTGCTTGTGTTCCTGCTCTGGTTGTCTCTCTCTCTCTCTGTCAAATAAATAAATAAAATCTTTAGGGGTGCCTGGGTGGCTCAGATGGTTAAGCGTCTGCCTTCGGCTCAGGTCATGATCCCAGGGTCCTGGGATCGAGCCCCACATCGGGCTCCTGGCTCAGCGAGGAGCCTGCTTCTCCCTCTCCCTCTGCCTCTCTCCCTGCTCATGCTCTCTCTCTCTCTCTCTGTATCTCTGTGTCTCAAATGAATAAATAAAATCTTTAATAAATAAATAAATAAATAAATAAATAAATAAATAAATAAATAAATAAAATCTTAAAAAAAACTAAAGTTGAATGGGAATGCCACCCCTGATTTCAGCTAGGACCTTTTAGTTTGGGGTGACTTCTTCCATATATACAATGTCACACAGTACTGGGGGACATCCTATAGCTGTAGCTGGCTGAATCACTGCTTTAGTCCTACCCGCTACACCCCTGTCCTGTCATCTCCTTTACCGCCTCCAAGCCATCCAGTTAAAGACACAATTCAGTAAAAAAGTGTGCCCGCTGTGCCAGACACCCCAGCCCCCTTTTCTAGCCAGTTTGCCACCTCTAACTCCTTCCTGTTAGAAATTCCAGAGCTCTCAGGGGCTACACTGGAATGCTTACAGATGCAAAAATCACAGGAAAGGATGCAAATAAAAGCTTTCAAAAGGGTCATTCTTATCTGCCATCCTGCTACAAAGCTTCCACAACAAGGGTGCTCTGCTGCAGAGTCAGGGTAGGGGCGAGCATGTGCACACTGCCCCAGACTTCAGTCAGAGCAGGGCAGGACCTGTCTATTTCACACACTGCCTTCTCTATCACCTTCCTTTCGAAGGGGGGATTGTGAGAAAGAAAAATGTCTCAAGAGCACTGTGCCAGGCAAAGAAACCTTTAAAATTCTGTTACTGTTGGGTACACACACACACACACACACACACACAAATATGCTCTTTTGGTACAACTGTAAGAAAAATGACTTTCTGAGAAATTTAACAAATATATTTTCCTTTGACACATGCTTAATCAAATGACCAAATAACAATGCTTTAAAGATATGTACATATACCAAACAAGAAAAAATTACTATTCATTTTACCCTTTCACATAAGCAATACTGTTACCCAAGGAATTAGGAAAGCGGCCATAAATACTGCAGATGTGAAGCAAACTACGTTTTTTTCCCATCACAGAATAAACATTCAGAAGTGATCCATGTTATTTACAGCATGCATTCTCTTCTCATTTGAGCTACAGGATGCACATCTTAAGAGTGAACTGAATTCTGTTCTACTATTCCCCCAGAAGCAGTCACTTACCATAAATATTTCTCTCTGCTCATGTCAGTTCTATTCTTTTGTTATCTGGGAAACTGCTTAATTGTTAATTTAGAAATACATATAGGAAAAAGTACTATCAATATTTCCTAAAGGTAGGCTATTTTCCTGATTACCAACCTCACCAATACATTCATAAAAGCATTTCTTACAATCCTATTGTCTTTAACATTTTTAACCAATGTTAATATTTTGGTATGAAAGAAAGTATTTCTCTCAGGCAGAGAGCTAGATTTTGAAGAAAGTCAAAGATAAAATAATACTAACATTGATTCTCAAGCAATCTCATTAAAAATGGTTCTCTCTTCCACCATTTAAAATATTTCAAGAAAGATTTACTTACCTGGGAATATTCAAAGTCGGTGATAGGAGCTATACTCTTGATATAGTCTGATCGAAATTGGTTTTCTGGGTTGGCCAGTGGAACTGGAGGTATGATAGTACTCATCGCTGAAACAATTGTCTAAAATGGAATGAAGAAAAAGATATATGGATAAATACAACATTTAGGTTCCTCTTATGACAACTAAAATATATAATTTCTGTCTATACAGTTTTAGAGAGCAGAGTATTTAACCTTTCTATTAACCAAACATTAAAAAAAAATCCTTACCACAATAGCATCTTTAACATTTTTCCGGATGTCCAGAATTTTCTGTTTCTTTTCCCTATATTAAAAGAGAATTGTTAACAATAAAAAAATTAAAAAAAAAGAGAATTGTTATTAATTTAATTTATCTTTAGAACTGACTTGAATCAGCTGAATGGGATTTTAAACTTCCAGCTGCAGCATGGGGCTAGACTGGTTTTTCTAGAGGTCAACATCAACCCCCAAGACAACAGTTGCAAAGTTTTTAACTGGGAAAGGAAAACATACTTTTTTTTCTTTTTTTTTTTTAAAGAATTTATTTATTTATTTGACAGAGAGAGACACAGCGAGAGAGGGAACACAAGCAGGGGGAGTGGGAGAGGGAGAAGCAGGCTTCCCACAGAGCAAGGAGCCCGATGCCGGGCTCGATCCCAGGACCCTGGGATCATGACCTGAGCCGAAGGCAGACACTTAACGACTCAGCCACCCAGGCGCCCCAACATACTTTTTTTTCTAATTTGTACACTAAGCAAACTTGAATGCACACATTACAATGTGTAGTTTTAAACTACACAGGTTACACAAAGCATGGCAACGTTGTTACGAATATTGCATATAAAAACTATACAGCTACACTTGTAAATATATTTTACTTGAATTATCCATATGTTGATAGATATGAATTGAAATAGAGGCGGACCAAGGATATAGAGATAAGTATATACTGACATATTGGTTAAGTGTGCTAAGTGCAGTACCAATAACACAGACCAATATCGCAAGATATCTAATAAATCCTATTTTGTTAGGGAAGTTATTTTATTTTTTCATCTAGACGCTACCTAAAGAAGAATTTGCCTAAATATACCAAATTCAACAACACGCTCCTATCTCACTACCCCCCCCCCCGCAAAGGTCTATTCAATGATCAAATTAATTATTCTGAGAAAGCACGTTTGGAAATGCTGGAGAGAAGTGAAAAAGTTTGCATGCAGTTTGGAAGCAAAAGCGAAATTGATCATTCCTTACTCAGGATTAAATCCATTGACATGCAGGATCCTCATTTGTTTGACGATAGTGCTCTTCCCAGACTCACCAGCCCCTGCAAACAAATAAAAAGAATGCTGTGGTCCGTGGCCCAATACCGTTGCCATCTCTCCTGCGAACCCAGACAGCAATTACCCTACCCCAGCGTAGGCATTTTCCAGTACACTCCAGATCGCGACTGGAGGAGCGGGTCCCGGTGACTGGCGGCGGTGAGCGCGGCCCTCGCCCGGCCCTGCCCTGCCCGCCCGGGCCCCGCGCTCGCTGCGCTCGGGGGTGTGCGCTCCGCTCGGGCCGGGAGCCGCCGCGCGCCCTCCGGCCTTACCCAGTAGCAGCAGGCGGTGAGTCGCTTTGTATGCCAGACGCTCCTTCTGCAACTGCTTCTCGATCTTCTTGTTGGCCTCGCGTCGTTCTTTTTCATCGACGCCCTGGTCTTCTGCCGTCTTGCTGTTGCCCAGACACCCCATGCCTGTCCGCTTGGATGAACGTCAGGCAGAGTTAGGTATTTGCACAAAAAGCAACAGAGAGTTGTAGATGTGTGTGGATCCTGCGACGGCTTCTCTTCCTTGCCGCTGAAAGAGATGCTCTGGTCTCGGTGTTTGCCGATCAGAACAGGCTTTCCTTCTCCCTCCCTCTGCCCACCGCAAACTCCCAACTAAAAAGGATGCGAGGAAGACGCGCGGAGCCAAATAAATGCTTTTTAAAGATACAGGTTTAGAATTTTCTTCTGGACAAACCGCACAGAATGAAGGGAGACCGGGCTCTGCCGGAGCTAGCCAGGGTGGCGCTGCGCCCGGCGCTCGCCCCTGGTCCCCGCGCCCGCACCGCCCGCCGCCCGCCGCGCTTAGCCCGGCTCAGCCCCGCCCCCGCCTGCACGGCCTGGGAAGCGCCCTGCGGGAGCACGAGAGTATCCCGGCGCCGCCGCGTGCTGGCCCACAGCGGCGCGGCGGGACGGAGCGCACCGCCGGTCCCTTCCGGCCGACCGTGGGCACCCGCCGGCCCGCTCGCGCCCCGCGCTACCTCCGCCGTCGGACGCGCGCCCCCTCCCGGTTCCGAGCGACCCCCGGGCCTCCGCGCGACAGGGAAGGGGAGCTGGCCTGCTCGCTGGGATCTCGCTGGGGCACTAGAGCTATCGGTGCTGGAGGGGTCGGGAGCTGACCTCTCCGAGCCCGGCCCGCGCGGGGTCCGCACCTCGGCTGCGTGCCTCTCTCGCACCCCGAGCCCGGAAGACTGGGTTTGGGCGTGCGCTCCCCGCCGATGCCTCGGACGCCTCCCTGCTCCCAGGCAGGCGAGGACTCGCGCAGGATCATGCATATTCTATCAGGGAGGAGGATCTGTAAGAGGCTCACCAGTCACACCGCCTTTGTTCCGTTCATTTTCTAGACTATTCCAGCGCACCCACGCCGCCGCCTCCCTTAGCCTCTTGTCTTTATCTCCAGCCCCCGTTTCTCCTTCGCAGTTCTCTGAACAGCTCTACTACTTTCCTAGGAGACACTATAGCTTCGAACTTTGGCTTGGAGCCGTGGAACCGAAGAAGGTAGAGACCGGTCTGCGTTCTCACTCACGGGGCTGAGTGCGAGTTCCCTCGGTTACTTGCTACCATTAGCCCGCAGAGACGGTCCGTCCGCGGCAGCTTTGCACTCGCATTCTTGGACTTGGGGGAAGGTCGGCAAAAGAGGCGACCCGGCCTAGAAGTCCGGGTTGGAGATCACTTCCTCGTGCGGTGCTGTTGTGGCACGGTCATGGTCTTCAGGCTCAGGGGGCCCGAGGCCCTGCACGCCGATTCTTCTACGTGGCCTTCTTCATCTGTGTTCAAGTGCCCCAGTTTCCTCCCAACCTACGTTTCTCTCACATTCAGCCAGGCCTGATCTTCTTTACAGAAAGCAAACAGCACCTGGTGGGGCTCCCGGCGCTCTGCTGCCTCATTCCCTCTGTAGGCCGCACCTGGGGCACAGCGGGCCTCACTTGTCAATGCGTCTCACTCAAACCCAACAGAACCTCCTGACACCCCAGGTTCCTTGCTAGTGCCACCATTTCCCCCTCCTGCCCACGCCTCCAAGAGTGAAAAAGGGAATCTGACTCTGGCCTGTCCTTCCTTACCTCTTGTTCACACCTCAGCTCCTGGCAGCCTGGCTTTGGCCCACCTCCCTACACTGAAAATGTTCTCCTTAGGGTCATCAGTGGCCTCCCAGGCATGAAATTTCATCCGTAAACTTTGGTCTTTACTTTCCTTGACCTCTCCATGGAGCTGGCACTGACCCTCCCTTGGGACTGTCTTGTTCTTTGGCTTGCATCGGATGGTGGTTTTGATGGCCTGCTCAGCCTCCAGCTGGTGGAGGTGCTTGGGACCCCACCCACCCTTTCTCCCCTGTGCACACACTCCTGGTGGGGCTGACTGCATCCTCCATCCTCTAAGCGCGCAGCTCTAACTGCGGCCACATCACATCTCCAGCCCAGCTTACCCCTTGTCCCCTGCCATCCCCAAGCATACCTCCACTTTCATCTCCCTGAGGTACATCCTCAGCTCTACCTGCCAAGGGCTGAGATCCCCTACACCTGCCCCCACACCTCCAGCCCTTTCCTTTCTGTTCTCTTTCTGTGATAAGAGTCCCTGATTTTCCAAACCAGAACACAGGTCTCATTCCTGACTCCTTTTCCTTCCTGAAAACCCAAATAGTTACTGTGTCCCATGGAGTCAGTTTCCTAAATACCAAATATCTCTTCCACCCTGTCTTCCATTACCATGGTCTTAGATTACTAATCTAACGTGGATTTTGGCAATGGCCTCCTGCTTACTTACTCGAGTGGCCCATGTGGCCACAGTGACAGTACAGATCTGCCATGTCTATCCCCACCACTAACAAGGCCTCGACCATGATCCTTTAAGACTGGGTTGGTGTAAACTCTGTGGCCTCAGCTCTCAAGTGTCTCCCCTTCCCAGCACTGCCCTGACCCTCCTTCCACCCGCATGGACTTCCTGAACACCCTGGCTTATCCATTGGGTTCGCATGCTGCTCCTCCCTGGAATACCTGGAATATCTTCTTCACTTGGCCACCTCCTACTTACTGTTCTAGCCTCACTACTCCCTTCACATTCAGTGTTAGACCCCTTCCCCGTGTTTCATAGTCTCACCAGCTCCTTGCATTGTAATGGTTTATTTATAGCTTTTTCCAAAGTCGGCTAGACCACAGCCTCCATGAGGGCCGGGCCTGAGTCTGTCCTTTACACCTGCTGCACCTGTGTCTAGTCCAGTGCCTGGCCTGGAGGAGGTGCCCCATGGATCTTTGTTGAATGGATGAATGAATTCCTGAATGCTCAAAGGGTGGGGTCTCATGAAAGGAATTTTGTCATCAGATTTTAAGTTCAGGAAACACTTGTCCAGTTTGGTACTATACTGAAAATATTAATACTTTCTAAAAAACAACAGCAATAAATTATTCTTCTTGACAGAGGCAGAAGCGAACATACAGTGCCATACTATAGGCTGAGCTAGGTTAAAGTTTCTAGTTTTGTGGAAGGGGACTGTTTATCACTGCTGCCAGGCCTCACACTTTGAGTTAACACACATGTACATGCATGGTAATATCAACCTGGCATGTACCGTGGGTAATGGGGGCAGTCAGGAGGCAAGAAAAGGTATGTAAAAATTGCATAGTACAGTGGGATGTTCATAAGGGTTTGTCAGTTTTCTTAATACTGAGATTTTTTTTAACGATTTTATTTATTTATTTGAGAGAGAGAGAATGAGAGATAGAGAGCATGAAAGGGAAGAGGGTCAGAGGGAGAAGCAGACTCCCCGCTGAGCAGGGAGGCCTGTGCGGGACTCGATCCCAGGACTCCAGGATCATGACCTGAGCCAAAGGCAGTGGCTTAACCAACTGAGCCACCCAGGTGCCCTTAATACAAAGATTTTTTTAAAAAAGATTTTATTTACTTATTTGAGAGAGAGAGAGATAGTGACAGAGATAGTGAGAGAGAGCATGAGCAGGGAGGAGAGGGAGAAGCAGGCTCCCCGCTGAGCAGGGAGCCCTGTGCGGGACTTGATCCCAGGATCCTGGCTTCATGACCTGAGCTGAAGGCAGATGCTTAACTGACTGAGACAGCCACTCAGGCACTCCTAATGCCAAGATTTTTATAAACAGTTGGAAGAAAAAGTTTCAAAACAAATCCCATGAAAACTTATAAAGGGAGAATTAAGTCAGACCTCAAAGCTACACTTTTAAGACAGCCTGATAATTCAGCTACCCTAAAAATACAGCAAAAAGTTTCCACTTGTTCAGATCTAGGATTTAAGGGTGTCAAAAAACAAGACAATGGGCCCCAAATCGAGTTGCTTATGCTAATCCCCATGTCACCAAACTGAGAATCAATTACAGTTTTGAGTTTCCTAGAAATGATATATTTTTTTAAAGATTTTATTTATTTATTTGACAGAGAGAAAGACATAGCTAGAGAGGGAACACAAGCAGGGGGAGTGGGAGAGGGAGAAGCAGGCTTCCCAAGGAGCAGAGAGCCCGATGTGGGGCTCGACCCCAGGAACCTGGGATCATGACCTGAGCCAAAGGCAGAGACTGTTAAGCTGAGCCACCCAGGCGCCCCTAGAAATGAAATCTTAAACCTGTCAATCTGGAATCGCCTGATGAGCACAGGTTAGGTAATCTGCTTCATACACCCCTGTTATCCCCTAAGGAAAAGTGACCTTGCAATAATCAACCTGCTTTTTAACCTAGTATAATTTCCTTGTTTCTGCTCCCTGCTCATTTTGAAAGGCTTTCATTTTGTGCAGCAACTTGGAGCTCCTTTCTTTCTGTTAGATGGGATGCTGCCTGATTCAAATCAAGTTTTGCTCAAATAAACTCTTAAAAATTTTAATATGCCCGAGTTTATCATTAAACGGGGTTAAAGATAAATTTTTGTATTTGAATTCTAATAAGATTTAGATGATCATATATGATGAATAATACACCCAAGAAGTTAATATGTCAATACAATAATAATAATATGTTCAGTGTAAAACAGCCTCTCCTAGTGGTTCACTCATTGCTGGCACTGTGCTA